AATTAGTGAACCGTTATAAAACAACTCCAAAACTCGGATGAATGCAAATATACTTTTATTAGCATGATTTTTTTTTATTTATTTTTTTTTCCGAATGTTCTTACTACAATATATATAACAAAGTTATAAATTTTAATATTTTAAAGAACAAATTAAATACTTATATAAAAAAATTATTTTCAGACTAAAAAAATAAACAAAATTTGGGGGTTAGAGGGCTGCTACCCCAAACCCTTCTTTAGGTCCTGCCCTGGTGACCTAGGCCTCGCTTCCCTCACCAATAGTGAAAAGGAATACTAATTCAATTAGCAACAATAAGCAATGAAATAATAATAATAATAATAATAATAATAATAATAATAATAATAAATTCAACACATTCATTTATCTTTTACCCATAATTTAATTTTATATTAAATTGAAATTGAAATCTATTATTATCATTTAAAATAATTAAAAAAATTAAAATAAAATACAAACCAAACAAACCCTAACAGCTAACACAAGTAATTCTTAGCCATTGAACAAATGAAATAATGTTAATTTGAATACGAGGGGCGTGGTTTTTCTTTTTTTTTTTTCAATTTTTATTTAAACAGCGATTTAATTCAATACTTTTTAAAAAGTATAATATTATATTCTATTTTTTTAATATTGTATAATTTGTTTTTTTCAAAAATGTTTTTTTTAAAAAAAAACAAAGTGAAATATATTTTACTGGGTGAGCGCTGAACGAGGACGAGATGAAATGAAATGGTCCTGCATTTGGATTGAATTTGCATCTGCATTTGTGGCTGGATGCAATAAAAATCATTTTCCTCAATCCGGACAGGAAGTGGGGCCCAGCCTGGAATTTCCCCACATTTTTGGGTAGCATTCGTTTTCAATATATCATTATTTATTATTATTATTAGAAGAGTTTATTATGTACTGTATGTACAGCAAGGTAGCGATATTGCTTTTCCCTCTCTCGTCTCTGTGTCTGGACACTTGTCTTTGTTGGGAGCTCCGGGAGTTGATAGATCTCCACGCTGTCAGAGGAGGAACAAAGATGTGTTTGGTCCTCGAGGTCCCAGGAGCTTCTAGAAAACAATCCTTCCCCCTCCCTGGTTCACTGCTCGCACGTTTTTCACCAATTCTCACTTTGTACTAATCCATTGGCATGCAAGAATTATTTGCTTGTTCTATGTAATGTTATATCATCAAAGATCCATCTTACACATGGTAAGATTTAAGGAATTAGCTTTTTGGGTGTGTTCGTTTGGGAGATTGGATTAGATTTTTACTATTCATTGTATTTCTTTCTTCAAAAATATCAAATCAAACACTTATTTTTCATTTTTTATATTATACTAAAAATTAATTTTACATTCAAAACATCACATCAATACTTATTTATATCACATCATACAACTACTCAAATTCAAAAATTTTACTATTTAAATTCCAACTCAAAATCCAAATCCACCCAAATGATCTAATATTTTGGAGTGAACTCATGAGCACGCTAATGGATTCAAATCCCGAGGACTTCGGATCAACAATAAAAATTAAGGTCAAATGCATTTTTTTAAGGAAGATTAGGAATGATAACAATTAAATAAAATATAAATTAAGATATGATAATCTTTAATATATAACATTGTCAAGATAAAAAAATTGTTCAGATCAAAAAATAAAATTTACTATAATAAAATTTGAAAAATCTCGGACAAGAGGATAAACACCACCAAACTAAATTTGTTCGTGGACAACTACAAACAAGAGACGATGAGTGTTCGGTCATACAAATATAGCATATGAACTAACATCACATGTTATAGTCTAATTGATATGTCCTATATATGATAATATTTTGCTATATTTTAGGCAACTTTTTTATGCAAAATTTTGTATATATGTTCCTCATGGTGTGTGTTTTATTGCGTAATAGGTTTTATAGAGTTGACAAGTTTTGGGGTGTATTTGAGAGACAACGAGAAGAACGCACGAAGGCTTTAGGCGTGATCACGCAACACAATATGAGGAATGTGAAATTTACAAAAAGACCATCTGGGGTGAATTGACAATATAAAAGGTATTTTAGATTTAATTACAATCGGCTTAGCCTTGTTGGAACTTAACAGGAATTTAACCCTAAGACCAGGATCTACCGTGTTATCATAATTGAGATAAAAATAAAACAAAATAAATCTAACCTTATTCCATTAGCATAGTCGAATTCGGACTCCCACGATGAAATATGGAACGTAATGGTTGTTGCGTCTAGACCTGGGATCACAACCCTATTTATATCCCTTATTATTAATTGACCTCATCACCCAATTAATAATTTACCGGGTTTCTGCACATTGAAGACCCGCACTTACTAAATATATTTAAGCCTAATAAATTTATAAATCACTTAATATAAGATTAATCTGACTAATAATCCAAATAATTATATTTAACCCACAATTAAATTTAATCCAACAAGCCGCGCTCACACTAGTACTTAGAGTGCTAGTATATAATAAATAATGAAATGACCATCGCTTTCCTACTTTCTCTCCCCGCTCGGCCCTCCCCTAATCCTTTTTTTAATTATTATTATAAATAGTGGGGCCCACCAAAACATATAGGAGAAAAAAAATAGGAGAAAAAACTGTATACCACCGTGTGGTAACACAAATTCATCGGTAAATATTATACTCCCTCCGTCCCAAATAAGGTGCAACATTTGCTTTTGACACGAATTTTTAGGTGGATAGTATTAAGTACTATAATTTAAAAATTAGGTGATGTGATTGAGAGAGAAATATATATTTTATTTTTTTATTTGGATGATATGAGGGGATAAAGTGTGGAGTAGAGATTAAGTATAATTAATTATTTCCTATTTTGGAAATATTGCAAGGTGTTTGGGACATATTAAAAAGGAAATGTTACAGGGTGTTTGGAATGGAGGGAGTATATACTAGAGGGGAGCCGTGCGATGCACGGTGTTATTATAAATTTTATTGAATTATTAAAATTAATTATTATTATCAAATATTTTCTTCGTCTTTTAACAAATTATATATTTTAAGTCTCATAACAAAATCTCTATTTTTTTTAAGTAACTGTATAATCTACTTAACATTATAAATACCCTTACAACTTACAATATATTACAAAAATATCATTATATTTATATTATACAATACTAATAAGATTATTTTAGTTATTTCTAATTTATTTCTACTACATATTAATATAATACTAATATAATTTAAATTCCATGTAAAAAACAAACACATAGATACTTAAGGACAGAAGGAGTATATAGTTTTTAATATGAAAATCATTTGAATAAATCAATTATTTTACACTATTAATTTATAATATTCTAAATATTGAAGATTGCGAAATTTTGTAGATCAAATATAAATATTATAAAAATGATGTTTATATATAATATTAGTGCTATCTCCTTATATTATAAAGTCAAATTTCATTAACATTTAATTGTTAGGTTAATTATTTTTTAAATTGTAGTTTAATTAGATATTTTTATAAATTATTTTTAAAGTTATAATTTAGTTGAAAATCTTTTTAGTATAAAAAATTAAAATGTCCAATAAAGCTAAAATCAAATTTTATTAACTCGTAACTGTTAATTCAATTTATTTTTTTAATATTATAATTTACTTACATAGTATTTGGATCTCTAAATAATATTAGTAATGTCTATTCAAATTTATATTTTCAAGAGAATATTAAGTTTTTGACAAAAATAATCTATACATTATTTTTCAGAAAATTTAATAGATTATATACACCCATTATTTTTATACCTAAATTTATTTTCACTTTTTTTTTTAGTTTATCCACTAATTTATCCTATTACTAATTTTGGCAAAGTCAACAAATCAACATTTAATTATTACATTTCATTTAACAGTTATTTACAATAAATACCACTAACTTTATTATATTATCTCTCTTAGTTTACTTTACTTTTTAACTAAATTTCCAAAAATACCCTAAACTACTTATTTCTTTTTAATAAAATATTCATTTTTTTAATTCCTGTAACGACTCCAAATAAGCTAATTAATAAGCTAATTTTAATAGACGGAGGAAGCATTATTTAAACGTATATACATAAAATCTTAAATAAACAAATATGTTAATAAGATGAATAAAAAAATAGTAACTTATTAATATAGAATTTGAAATAATGAACTTGTTCATTTGGGTTTATTAATGTCATAATTTTTCATAAATATTATTAAAAAATAGAATATATATATATATATATTAAGACACTTTATGTAATTAGATTTGTTTGTAAGATTTTGAATTTTAATGATTATATTAAATATAATTATTAAATTTTGATACAATGAAAGATAACCGATAATATATATAATAAATAATTATAGTTAAAAAATAAAAGAAATTACTAATTTATATAGTAGTATACTATTATAATTAAAATAAACATAAATAAAAAATATATAATTATATCTATTTATGTAATTTTAGTTTTGATTTTATTTATTTATTTTTGTACAAAATTAAATTAAATATCTATTTTTTATTTATTATATTACAGTAAAATTTAATTATACATTTAAAACATCAATATATATTTATATCACATCAAATAACTATTTCAATTCAAAATTTTATTTTTCAAATCAAAACCCCACAAAATTATTTTCTTTTATAATTATGTTTATTTGTGAAATTTTAGTTTTGATTATCCAATTTAAAATTTTCTTTTCTCTTTACAAATCAAATTAAACGCATATTTTTATTTATTATATGTTAGTATAAAATTAAGAAACAAAATTAATATATGCATGCAAGTCCCGGCACGAAAAATAATCCTAACTCTATACGTATTATGATAAAATAAAAACAATGCATAAATGTAAAAGAAAAGAGTACGAAAAACTCCCTGTTTTATTTTCGATAGTCCGCTCGTCCAACTGCTCATCCGGCCGCTCTCCCCAAAAGCTGTACCTACACACCAAAAACACTAAAAAATATGGTAGTATAAAATTAAGAAACAAAATTAATGCATGCATGCAAGTCCCGTGACGAAAAATAATCCTAACTCTATATGTATTATGATAAAATAAAAACAATGCATAAATGTAAAAGAAAAGAGTACGAAAAACTCCCTGTTTTATTTTCGGTAGTCCGCTCGTCCAACTGCTCATCCGGCCGCTCTCCCCAAAAGCTGTACCTACACACCAAAAACACTAAAAAATATGTTAGTATAAAATTAAGAAACAAAATTAATGCATGCATGCAAGTCCCGGGACGTAAAAATAATCCTAACTCTATATGCAATATGATAAAATAAATGCAATGCATAAATGTAAAAGAGAAGCGTAGGAAAAACTCCCTGTTTTGTTTTCGATAGTCCGCTCATCCAGCCGCTCTACCCAAAACTGTACCTACAAACCAAAAATACGAAAAAATATGTTAGTATAAAATTAAGAAACAAAATTAATGCATGCATGCAAGTCCCGGGACGAAAAATAATCCTAACTCTATATGCAATACGATAAAATAAAAGCAATGCATAAATGTAAAAGAGAAAAGTACGAAAAACTCCCTGTTTTATTTTCGGTAGTCCGCTCATCCGGCCACTCTCCCCAAAAGTTGTAGCTACAAACAAAAACACTAAAAATTATGTTAGTATAAAATTAAGAAACAAAATTAATGCATGCATGCAAGTCCCGGGACTAAAAATAATCCTAACACTATACGTATTATGATAAAATAAAAACAATGCATAAATGTAAAAGAGAAGAGTACGAAAAACTCCCTGTTTTGTTTTCGATAGTCCGCTCATCCGGCCGCTCTCCCAAAAAGCTGTACCTACAAACCAAAAACACTAAAAAATATGTTAGTATAAAATTAAGAAACAAATTAATGCATGCATGCAAGTCCCGGGACGAAAAATAATCCTAACTCTATATGCCATATGATAAAATAAATGCAATGCATAAATGTAAAAGAGAAAGAGTACGAAAAACTCCCTGCTTTGTTTTCGATAGTCCGCTCATCCGGCCTCTCGCTCTCTCCAAAAGCTGTACCTACAAACCAAAAACACTAAAAAATATGTTAGTATAAAATTAAGAAACAAAATTAATGCATGCAAGTCCCGGGACTAAAAATAATCCTAACTCTATATGCGATATGATAAAATAAATGCAATGCATAAATATAAAAGAGAAGAGTACGAAAAACTCCCTGTTTTATTTTCGGCAGTCCGCTCAACCGGCCGCTCTCCCCAAAAGCTGTACCTACAAACTATAAACACTAAAAAATATGTTAGTATAAAATTAAGAAACAAAATTAATGCATGCATGCAAGTCACGGGACTAAAAATAATCCTAACTCTATATGCAATATGACAAAATAAAAGCAATGCATAAATGTAAAAGAGAAGAGTACGAAAAACTCCTTGTTTTGTTTTCGGTAGTCTGCTCATCCGGCCGCTCTCCCCAAAAGCTGTACCTACAAACGAAAAACACTAAAACATATGATAGTATAAAATTAAAAAACAAAATTAATGCATGCATGCAAGTCCCGGGACTAAAAATAATCCTAACTATACATGCAACAAAATAAAAGCAATCCATAAATGTAAAAGAGAAAGAAGATTATGAAAAACTCCCTGTTTTATTTTTGGTAGTCCGCTCATCCGGCCGCTCTCCCCAAAAGCTGTACCTACAAACCAAAAACACTAAAAAATATGTTAGTATAAAATTAAGAAACAAAATTAATGCATGCATGCAAGTCCCGGGACTAAAAATAATCCTAACTCTATATGCAATATGATAAAATAAATGCAATGCATAAATATAAAAGAGAAGAGTACGAAAAACTACCAGTTTTGTTTTCGGTACTCCGCTCATCCGGCTGTTCTCCCCAAAAGCTGTACCTACAAATCAAAAACACTAAAAAATATGTTAGTATAAAATTAAGAAACAAAATTAATGCATGCATGCAAGTCCCGGGACTAAAAATAATCCTAACTCTATATGTGATATGATAAAATAAATGCAATTCATAAATATAAAAGAGAAGAGTACGAAAAACTCCCTGTTTTGTTTTCGGTAGTCCGCTCATCCGGCCGCTCTCCCCAAAAGCTGTACCTACAAACCAAAAACACTAAAAAATATGTTAGTAAAAAATTAAGAAACAAAATTAATGCATACATGCAAGTCCCGGGACTAAAAATAATCCTAACTCTATATGCAATTTGATAAAGTAAATGCAATGCATAAATATAAAACAGAAGAGCACGAAAAACTTCCTGTTTTATTTTCGGTAGTCCGCTCATCCGGCCGCTCTCCCCAAAAGCTGTACCTACAAACCAAAAACACTAAAAAATATGTTAGTATAAAATTAAGAAACAAAATTAATGCATGCATGCAAGTCCCGGGACTAAAAATAATCCTAACTCTATATGCAATATGATAAAATAAAAGCAATGCATAAATGTAAAAGAGAAAGAAGAGTATGAAAAACTCCCTGTTTTATTTTCGGTAGTCCGCTCATCCGGCCGCTCTCCCCAAAAGCTGTACCTACAAACCAAAAATACTAAAAAATATGTTAGTATAAAATTAAGAAACAAAATTAATGCATGCATGCAAGTCCCGGGACTAAAAATAATCCTAACTCTATACGCAATATGATAAAATAAAAGCAATACATAAATGTAAAAGAGAATAGTACGAAAAACTCCATGTTTTGTTTTCGGTAGTCCACTCATCCGGCCGCTCTCCCCAAAAGCTGTACCTACAAACCAAAAACACTAAAAAATATGTTAGTATAAAATTAAGAAACAAAATTAATGCATGCATGCAAGTCCCGGGACGTAAAAATAATCCTAACTCTATATGCAATATGATAAAATAAATGCAATGCATAAATATAAAAGAGAAGAGTACGAAAAACTCCCTGTTTTGTTTTCGGTAGTCTGCTCAACCGGCAGCTCTCCCCAAAAGCTGTACCTACAAACCAAAAACACTAAAAATATATGTTAGTATAAAATTAAGAAACAAAATTAATGCATGCATGCAAGTCCCGGGACTAAAAATAATCCTAACTCTATATGCGATATGATAAAATAAATTCAATGCATAAATATAAAAGAGAAGACAACGAAAAACTCCCTGTTTTGTTTTCGGTAGTCCGCTCATCCGGTCGCTCTCCCCAAAAGCTGTACCTACAAACCAAAAACACTAAAAAATATGTTAGTATAAAATTAAGAAACAAAATTAATGCATGCATGCAAGTCCCGGGACTAAAAATAATCCTAACTCTATATGCAATATGACAAAATAAAAGCAATGCATAAATGTAAAAGAGAAGAGTACGAAAAACTCCTTGTTTTGTTTTCGGTAGTCTGCTCATCCGGCCGCTCTCCCCAAAAGCTGTACCTACAAACGAAAAACACTAAAACATATGATAGTATAAAATTAAAAAACAAAATTAATGCATGCATGCAAGTCCCGGGACTAAAAATAATCCTAACTATACATGCAACAAAATAAAAGCAATCCATAAATGTAAAAGAGAAAGAAGATTATGAAAAACTCCCTGTTTTATTTTTGGTAGTCCGCTCATCCGGCCGCTCTCCCCAAAAGCTGTACCTACAAACCAAAAACACTAAAAAATATGTTAGTATAAAATTAAGAAACAAAATTAATGCATGCATGCAAGTCCCGGGACTAAAAATAATCCTAACTCTATATGCAATATGATAAAATAAATGCAATGCATAAATATAAAAGAGAAGAGTACGAAAAACTACCAGTTTTGTTTTCGGTACTCCGCTCATCCGGCTGTTCTCCCCAAAAGCTGTACCTACAAATCAAAAACACTAAAAAATATGTTAGTATAAAATTAAGAAACAAAATTAATGCATGCATGCAAGTCCCGGGACTAAAAATAATCCTAACTCTATATGTGATATGATAAAATAAATGCAATTCATAAATATAAAAGAGAAGAGTACGAAAAACTCCCTGTTTTGTTTTCGGTAGTCCGCTCATCCGGCCGCTCTCCCCAAAAGCTGTACCTACAAACCAAAAACACTAAAAAATATGTTAGTAAAAAATTAAGAAACAAAATTAATGCATACATGCAAGTCCCGGGACTAAAAATAATCCTAACTCTATATGCAATTTGATAAAGTAAATGCAATGCATAAATATAAAACAGAAGAGCACGAAAAACTTCCTGTTTTATTTTCGGTAGTCCGCTCATCCGGCCGCTCTCCCCAAAAGCTCTACCTACAAACCAAAAACACTAAAAAATATGTTAGTATAAAATTAAGAAACAAAATTAATACATGCATGCAAGTCCCGGGACTAAAAATAATCCTAACTCTATATGCAATATGATAAAATAAAAGCAATGCATAAATGTAAAAGAGAAAGAAGAGTATGAAAAACTCCCTGTTTTATTTTCGGTAGTCCGCTCATCCGGCCGCTCTCCCCAAAAGCTGTACCTACAAACCAAAAATACTAAAAAATATGTTAGTATAAAATTAAGAAACAAAATTAATGCATGCATGCAAGTCCCGGGACTAAAAATAATCCTAACTCTATACGCAATATGATAAAATAAAAGCAATACATAAATGTAAAAGAGAATAGTACGAAAAACTCCATGTTTTGTTTTCGGTAGTCCACTCATCCGGCCGCTCTCCCCAAAAGCTGTACCTACAAACCAAAAACACTAAAAAATATGTTAGTATAAAATTAAGAAACAAAATTAATGCATGCATGCAAGTCCCGGGACGTAAAAATAATCCTAACTCTATATGCAATATGATAAAATAAATGCAATGCATAAATATAAAAGAGAAGAGTACGAAAAACTCCCTGTTTTGTTTTCGGTAGTCTGCTCAACCGGCAGCTCTCCCCAAAAGCTGTACCTACAAACCAAAAACACTAAAAATATATGTTAGTATAAAATTAAGAAACAAAATTAATGCATGCATGCAAGTCCCGGGACTAAAAATAATCCTAACTCTATATGCGATATGATAAAATAAATTCAATGCATAAATATAAAAGAGAAGACAACGAAAAACTCCCTGTTTTGTTTTCGGTAGTCCGCTCATCCGGTCGCTCTCCCCAAAAGCTGTACCTACAAACCAAAAACACTAAAAAATATGTTAGTATAAAATTAAGAAACAAAATTAATGCATGCATGCAAGTCCCGGGACTAAAAATAATCCTAACTCTATATGCAATATGACAAAATAAAAGCAATGCATAAATGTAAAAGAGAAGAGTACGAAAAACTCCTTGTTTTGTTTTCGGTAGTCTGCTCATCCGGCCGCTCTCCCCAAAAGCTGTACCTACAAACGAAAAACACTAAAACATATGATAGTATAAAATTAAAAAACAAAATTAATGCATGCATGCAAGTCCCGGGACTAAAAATAATCCTAACTATACATGCAACAAAATAAAAGCAATCCATAAATGTAAAAGAGAAAGAAGATTATGAAAAACTCCCTGTTTTATTTTTGGTAGTCCGCTCATCCGGCCGCTCTCCCCAAAAGCTGTACCTACAAACCAAAAACACTAAAAAATATGTTAGTATAAAATTAAGAAACAAAATTAATGCATGCATGCAAGTCCCGGGACTAAAAATAATCCTAACTCTATATGCAATATGATAAAATAAATGCAATGCATAAATATAAAAGAGAAGAGTACGAAAAACTACCAGTTTTGTTTTCGGTACTCCGCTCATCCGGCTGTTCTCCCCAAAAGCTGTACCTACAAATCAAAAACACTAAAAAATATGTTAGTATAAAATTAAGAAACAAAATTAATGCATGCATGCAAGTCCCGGGACTAAAAATAATCCTAACTCTATATGTGATATGATAAAATAAATGCAATTCATAAATATAAAAGAGAAGAGTACGAAAAACTCCCTGTTTTGTTTTCGGTAGTCCGCTCATCCGGCCGCTCTCCCCAAAAGCTGTACCTACAAACCAAAAACACTAAAAAATATGTTAGTAAAAAATTAAGAAACAAAATTAATGCATACATGCAAGTCCCGGGACTAAAAATAATCCTAACTCTATATGCAATTTGATAAAGTAAATGCAATGCATAAATATAAAACAGAAGAGCACGAAAAACTTCCTGTTTTATTTTCGGTAGTCCGCTCATCCGGCCGCTCTCCCCAAAAGCTGTACCTACAAACCAAAAACACTAAAAAATATGTTAGTATAAAATTAAGAAACAAAATTAATGCATGCATGCAAGTCCCGGGACTAAAAATAATCCTAACTCTATATGCAATATGATAAAATAAAAGCAATGCATAAATGTAAAAGAGAAAGAAGAGTATGAAAAACTCCCTGTTTTATTTTCGGTAGTCCGCTCATCCGGCCGCTCTCCCCAAAAGCTGTACCTACAAACCAAAAATACTAAAAAATATGTTAGTATAAAATTAAGAAACAAAATTAATGCATGCATGCAAGTCCCGGGACTAAAAATAATCCTAACTCTATACGCAATATGATAAAATAAAAGCAATACATAAATGTAAAAGAGAATAGTACGAAAAACTCCATGTTTTGTTTTCGGTAGTCCACTCATCCGGCCGCTCTCCCCAAAAGCTGTACCTACAAACCAAAAACACTAAAAAATATGTTAGTATAAAATTAAGAAACAAAATTAATGCATGCATGCAAGTCCCGGGACGTAAAAATAATCCTAACTCTATATGCAATATGATAAAATAAATGCAATGCATAAATATAAAAGAGAAGAGTACGAAAAACTCCCTGTTTTGTTTTCGGTAGTCTGCTCAACCGGCAGCTCTCCCCAAAAGCTGTACCTACAAACCAAAAACACTAAAAATATATGTTAGTATAAAATTAAGAAACAAAATTAATGCATGCATGCAAGTCCCGGGACTAAAAATAATCCTAACTCTATATGCGATATGATAAAATAAATTCAATGCATAAATATAAAAGAGAAGACAACGAAAAACTCCCTGTTTTGTTTTCGGTAGTCCGCTCATCCGGTCGCTCTCCCCAAAAGCTGTACCTACAAACCAAAAACACTAAAAAATATGTTAGTATAAAATTAAGAAACAAAATTAATGCATGCATGCAAGTCCCGGGACTAAAAATAATCCTAACTCTATATGCAATATGATAAAGTAAATGCAATGCATAAATATAAAAGAGAAGAGCACGAAAAACTTCCAGTTTTATTTTCGGTAGTCCGCTCATCCGGCCGCTCTTCCCAAAAGCTGTACCTACAAACCAAAATCACTAAAAAATATGTTAGTATAAAATTAAGAAACAAAATTAATGCATGCATGCAAGTCCCGGGACTAAAAATAATCCTAACTCTATATGCAATATAATAAAATAAAAGCAATGCATAAATGTAAAAGAGAAAGAAGAGTATGAAAAACTCTCTGTTTTATTTTTGGTAGTCCGCTCATCCGGTCGCTCTCCCCAAAAGCTGTACCTACAAACCAAAAACACTAAAAAATATGTTAGTATAAAATTAAGAAACAAAATTAATGCATGCATGCAAGTCCCGGGACTAAAAATAATCCTAACTCTATAAGATATATGATAAAATAAAAGCAATACATAAATGTAAAAGAGAAGAGTACGAAAAACTCCCAGTTTTGTTTTCGGTAGTCCACTCATCCGGCCGCTCTCCCCAAAAGCTGTACCTACAAACCAAAAACACTAAAAAAAATGTTAGTATAAAATTAAGAAACAAAATTAATGCATGCATGCAAGTCCCGGGACGTAAAAATAATCCTAACTCTATATGCAATATGATAAAATAAAAGCAATGCATAAATGTAAAAGATAAGAGTACGAAAAACTCCCTGTTTTATTTTCGGCAGTCCGCTCAACCGGCCGTTCTCCCCAAAAGCTGTACCTACAAACTATAAACACTAAAAAATATGTTAGTATAAAATTAAGAAAACTAAATTAATACATGCATGCAAGTCCCGGGACGAAAAATAATCCTAACTATATGCAATATGATAAAATAAAAGCAATGCATAAATGTAAAAGAGAAGAGCACGAAAAAACTCCCTGTTTTGTTTTCGGTAGTCCGCGCATCCGGCCGCTCTCCCCAAAGGCTGTACCTACAAACCAAAAACACTAAAAATTATGTTAGTATAAAATTAACAAACAAAATTAATGCATGCATGCAAGTCCCGGGACTAAAAATAATCCTAACTCTATATGCGATATGATAAAATAAATGCAATGCATAAATATAAAAGAAAAGAGTACGAAAAACTCCCTGTTTTGTTTTCGGTAGTCCTTTCATCCGGCGGCACTCCCCAAAAGCTGTACCTACAAACCAAAAACACTAAAAAAATATGTTAGTATAAAATTAAGAAATAAAATTAACGCATGCATGCAAGTCCCAGGACTAAAAATAATCCTAACTCTATATGCAATATGATAAAATAAAAGCAATCCATAAATGTAAAAGAGAAAGAAGAGTATGATAAACTCCCTTTTTTATTTTCGGTAGTCCGCTCATCCGGCTGCTCTCCCCAAAAGGTGTACCTACAAACCAAAAACACTAAAAAATATGTTAGTATAAAATTAAGAAATAAAATTAATGTCTGCATGCAAGTCACGGGACGTAAAAATAATCCTAACTCTATATGCAATATGATAAAATAAAAGCCATTCAAAAATGTAAAAGATAAGAGTACGAAAAACTCCTTTTTTTGTTTTCGGTAGTCCACTCAACCGGCCGCTCTCCCCAAAAGCTGTACCTACAAACCAAAAACACTAAAAAATATGTTAGTATAAAATTAAGAAACAAAATTAATGCATGCATGCAATTCCCGGGACGTAATAATAATCCTTACTCTATACGCAATATGATAAAATAAAAGCAATACATAAATGTAAAAGAGAATAGTACGAAAAACTCCCTGTTTTGTTTTCAGTAGTCCGCTCATCCGGCCGCTCTCCCCAAAAGCTGTACCTACAAACCAAAAACACTAAAAAATATGTTAGTATAAAATTAAAAAAAAAAATTAACGCATGCATGCAAGTCCCGGGACTAAAAATAATCATAACTCTATATGCAATATGATAAAATAAAAGCAATGCATAAATGTAAAAGAGAAAGAAGAGTATGAAAAACTCCCTGTTTTATTTTCGGTAGTCCGCTCATCCGGCCGCTCTCCGCAAAAGCTGTACCTACAAACCAAAAACACTAAAAAATATGTTAGTATAAAATTAAAAAACAAAATTAATGCATGCATGCAAGTCCCGGGACTAAAAATAATCCTAACTCTATACGCAATATGATAAAATAAAAGCAATACATAAATGTGAAAGAGAATAGTACGAAAAACTCCCTGTTTTGTTTTCGATAGTCCGCGCATCCGGCCGCTCTCCCCAAAAGCTGTACCTACAAACTAAAAACACTAAAAATATATTAGTATAAAAGTAAGAAACAAAATTAATGCATGCATGCAAGTCCCGGGACTAAAAATAATCCTAACTCTATATGCAATATGGCAAAATAAAAGCAATGCATAAATATAAAAGAGAAGAGTACGAAAAACTCCCTGTTTTGTTTTCGGTAGTCCGCGCATCCGGCCGCTCTTCCCAAAAGCTGTACCTACAAACTAAAAACACTAAAAATATATTAGTATAAAAGTAAGAAACAAAATTAATGCATGCATGCAAGTCCCGGGACTAAAAATAATCCTAACTCTATATGCAATATGGCAAAATAAAAGCAATGCATAAATATAAAAGAGAAGAGTACGAAAAACTCCCTGTTTTGTTTTCGGTAGTCCGCGCATCCGGCCGCTCTCCCCAAAAGCTGTACCTACAAACTAAAAACACTAAAAATATATTAGTATAAAAGTAAGAAACAAAATTAATGCATGCATGCAAGTCCCGGGACTAAAAATAATCCTAACTCTATATGCAATATGGCAAAATAAAAGCAATGCATAAATATAAAAGAGAAGAGTACGAAAAACTCCCTGTTTTATTTTCGGTAGTCCGCGCATCCGGCCGCTCTCCCCAAAAGCTGTACCTACAAACTAAAAACACTAAAAATATATTAGTATAAAAGTAAGAAACAAAATTAATGCATGCATGCAAGTCCCGGGACTAAAAATAATCCTAACTCTATATGCGATATGATAAAATAAATGCAATACATAAATATAAAAGAGAAGAGTACGAAAAACTCCCTGTTTTGTTTTCGATAGTCCGCGCATCCGGCCGCTCTCCCCAAAAGCTGTACCTACAAACTAAAAACACTAAAAATATATTAGTATAAAAGTAAGAAACAAAATTAATGCAGGCATGCAAGTCCCGGGACTAAAAATAATCCTAACTCTATATGCAATATGGCAAAATAAAAGCAATGCATAAATATAAAAGAGAAGAGTACGAAAAACTCCCTGTTTTGTTTTCGGTAGTCCGCGCATCCGGCCGCTCTCCCCAAAAGCTGTACCTACAAACTAAAAACACTAAAAATATATTAGTATAAAAGTAAGAAACAAAATTAATCCAGGCATGCAAGTCCCGGGACTAAAAATAATCCTAACTCTATATGCGATATGATAAAATAAATGCAATACATAAATATAAAAGAGAAAGAAGAGTACGAAAAACTCCTGTTTTGTTTTCGATAGTCCGCGCATCCGGCCGCTCTCCCCAAAAGCTGTACCTACAAACTAAAAACACTAAAAATATATTAGTATAAAAGTAAGAAACAAAATTAATGCATGCATGCAAGTCCCGGGACTAAAAATAATCCTAACTCTATATGCGATATGATAAAATAAATGCAATACATAAATATAAAAGAGAAAGAAGAGTACGAAAAACTCCCTGTTTTGTTTTCGATAGTCCGCGCATCCGGCCGCTCTCCCCAAAAGCTGTACCTACAAACTAAAAACACTAAAAATATATTAGTATAAAAGTAAGAAACAAAATTAATGCAGGCATGCAAGTCCCGGGACTAAAAATAATCCTAACTCTATATGCAATATGGCAAAATAAAAGCAATGCATAAATATAAAAGAGAAGAGTACGAAAAACTCCCTGTTTTGTTTTCGGTAGTCCGCGCATCCGGCCGCTCTCCCCAAAAGCTGTACCTACAAACTAAAAACACTAAAAATATATTAGTATAAAAGTAAGAAACAAAATTAATCCAGGCATGCAAGTCCCGGGACTAAAAATAATCCTAACTCTATATGCAATATGGCAAAATAAAAGCAATGCATAAATATAAAAGAGAAGAGTACGAAAAACTCCCTGTTTTGTTTTCGGTAGTCCGCGCATCCGGCCGCTCTCCCCAAAAACTGTACCTACAAACTAAAAACACTAAAAATATATTAGTATAAAAGTAAGAAACAAAATTAATGCATGCATGCAAGTCCCGGGACTAAAAATAATCCTAACTCTATATGCAATATGGCAAAATAAAAGCAATGCATAAATATAAAAGAGAAGAGTACGAAAAACTCCCTGTTTTGTTTTCGGTAGTCCGCGCATCCGGCCGCTCTCCCCAAAAGCTGTACCTACAAACTAAAAACACAAAAATATATTAGTATAAAAGTAAGAAACAAAATTAATGCATGCATGCAAGTCCCGGGACTAAAAATAATCCTAACTCTATATGCAATATGGCAAAATAAAAGCAATGCATAAATATAAAAGAGAAGAGTACGAAAAACTCCCTGTTTTGTTTTCGGTAGTCCGCGCATCCGGCCGCTCTCCCCAAAAGCTGTACCTACAAACTAAAAACACTAAAAATATATTAGTATAAAAGTAAGAAACAAAATTAGTGCATGCATGCAAGTCCCGGGACTAAAAATAATCCTAACTCTATATGCAATATGGAAAAATAAAAGCAATGCATAAATATAAAAGAGAAGAGTACGAAAAACTCCCTGTTTTGTTTTCGGTAGTCCGCGCATCCGGCCGCTCTCCCCAAAAGCTGTACCTACAAACTAAAAACACTAAAAATATATTAGTATAAAAGTAAGAAACAAAATTAGTGCATGCATGCAAGTCCCGGGACTAAAAATAATCCTAACTCTATATGCAATATGGCAAAATAAAAGCAATGCATAAATATAAAAGAGAAGAGTACGAAAAACTCCCTGTTTTGTTTTCGGTAGTCCGCGCATCCGGCCGCTCTCCCCAAAAGCTGTACCTACAAACTAAAAACACTAAAAATATATTAGTATAAAAGTAAGAAA